CCTTCCTTCTTTTTTTGGAAAATTGGAAATTAGAAGAAGTAGAAAAACCAGCCCCATGGTAACACAGTGCTGGAGCCGGGCAGCTGCTGCCGGCCCTCCTCCAGGCACATGCTCCCAGGGCTCCCCAGCGGCGGCCAGCCTGCTTCAGTCATCAGCTCACCTGCCAGACCCCTGCAGGCATCTGCACCGGCCACCCCAGCTTCAAGGAATTCAGGCAAAAATTCAGCCTCTCTGTACTTCCCTATTTCTACTTCTAACAAAAATTCTTACCACAAAGATCCTTTCCTACCTCAGGGGTGTTAAGAAAGAAATCAGATGTCTGCAGATCACCTAGAAGTCACTGTCCTGCTCTCCTCCTTAGCTGCTCATTGGAATCACCTAGGGGGCTTTAAAAGATACTGATGCTTGGGTTCCGCCCAGAGATCCTGATTTATTGGTCTGGGATGTAACCGGGGCATCAGGACTGCACAAAGCTCCCCAGATGGTCGTAACGGACAGCCAAGGCTGAGAACTCCTGCCTTCGGAGGATGCAAGCTGTTGCGTACAAAGTAGTAAGCTTATTTCAATGTCAGCCTCCAAATACAAATTTCTTGCCTCTCACCTCTATGATAATTCACATCACCTCTTATTTTTGGAAGTGGGCAATTATTCCAAAAGCTTACAAAACGGCATTGACAAACTAGGAAAGGACGTCAAAGCGTATTCTGGTTTCTACCATTCATTCTCCCTCCTGTTCCAACACAATTAGCAAACATAACACTAAAGAAATGAGAAGAAATTATCCCAAGTAACAAAACTCAGGTAGCACAAAAAAATATTTCAAATATTTAAAGAAAAAAAACAATTTCCCCAAGACTTTCCATTAATGGTCCAATTTTTACCTTTAGATGGAGTCCAAATTTTTGCCTCTTCAAGCTTTCTGTTGGGTAGTATGCATTTATAGTTTGGCTTCCAATCACGGGAAAAGCAAACTACTGTCATCTGATTTTCAAACAGTAATACTACTACTTTACATTACATCTGAAAAGCACATTTTCAGAATGGTTTCACATAAGAATGGCTCCTACTTAATGGACTTCTACTATGTACTGGGAACACGAGGCACTGCATATATATAAGATCTGAAATTGGTCCAACAACCTCACAAAGTTAATTCCGTCAGCCCATTCTACAAATTTTAAAAAACTGAGCTTCATAAAGCTTTAAAATTATGTTCTAGTGAGCTAGTGGGTGGTAGTGCATGAACTCAATCCAAGGTCTGTCTGTGCGACTCAGAAGCCTGTGCTTCTCACGCTAAACACTTTGTTTAATCATCACAAGCCACAGGTAGTAAGATCTGTTCTGATGATCCCCACTTGCCCAGTGAAAACAGAGAGGTTAGGATCTGCTCCACATCTCCGAATGAGATAGTAAGAGCCAAGATTATACACACATAACCTTCCCACTCTCCATCCAATGTTTTTTCAGCAGACCAAACCACAGCTCACAAGTTACACATTAAAAGCTATAATGATGGCAGTTATGTGGTACTTATGGGTCTAAATCAAATGCTCCTGATTTCTGAGAATCTTCATCATAACTATAAGCAGGGCTTCACTTTGGCTCAGGTCTGGTACATGCCTGTCTGTTCCAGGCCACCTGTGAATCAGGTATCAGGTTCGATTCATTTATTTTTCCCAGAATCCTCTCATGAGTCCTACGAGCAATGATACAGATGACATAAAGGCACAAGCACCAGCGTCCAGGTCTGTCCTTGGCCGCCTGACACCATCACCAGGCAATCAGCAGGACATCCTGAAAAAGAGGGACATCACCTTCTATGAGTTTTCCCTTATTTGTAAAATTGTAGAGTCTGTGCCATAAAAATCCAGCTGGAAGGACTCATCTCCACAAGTGCCACTGTGTAAAGCTGGCTCCCAGGGGTGTGTCATTTCAAGTCCTGGCAGGGAGGTGTCCTCTTCTTTAAGCTGACGACACTGCATCCTTATACCTGCATTTCGAAAACTGTGTCTTGGATGTGTTGTGTCCGAGAAGTGATTCTCGAATAAGAGCAGACACAACACAGCTCCCCTGCAAGAGAAAGCAAACAGGCTTTATCACCCCATAAACATGTCCCACCAATCAATACTTATCTGCCCTCTTTTCTGAAGCAACTCTTAAGAGTCACTTGAGTTCTATTACTATGGGTAATTCTTGAAGAAATTGCATTTCTGCCTCCTAATGATCTTGGAACAAAGCAAGCACCTCGTTTTATTAAGTCCAACTACCTAAAGGAGCTGGTTCAAAGATATAGTTGGAACAGAGGTCTTAATCATTCGGTGTGAAAGAACTCCGCTATGTTATCGAACCTCACCATGCCCCGTCTCCCAACCGCCAGCAGCAAGAACAAACACATGTCAGGGCTATTTGTTTTATTCAAAAATGACAGGAAATCAAAAATCTATCCTATGGACGTGTCAGCGGCAGCCCCACAAGCATATTGGTCAGTAAGATTTATGAACCTCCAGTTTGGCTTGTGACAAATCATCTGCTGCCCGGCCTGCGTGGCTCAGTGGGGAGCATCCGCCTAGAACCAGGAGGTCACGGTTTGGTTCCCGTCAGGGCACAGGCCCGGGTTTCGGGCTCGATCCCCAGTAGGGGGCATGCAGGAGGCAGCTGATCAATGACTCTCTCGTCATTGATGTTTCTATCTCTCCCTCTCCCTTCCTCTCTGAAATCAATAAAAACATATTTAAAAAGAAAGAAAGAAAAATCACCTGCTAAGCTTTCTAACCGCCCAGTACCCACTTGGATACACAAGCTAAAGGTTTCTGGGGCGTGTCTAAGGCTAGGTACCACACACATCATAGTCACATTCTATGTGAGTGTAAATTATGCAAAGTTTTTTGACAGAGAAAGAAAAATACCATCATATTTCACTTGTATGTGGAATCTAAGAACAAAATAAACAGACAAATGAGACAGAAACAGACTCGTAAATTGTGCACATTTGAAATGTGGTATCATATTGAGATATTAAATAATGTCTCCTTACCCACATTTGTGCAAACTCCACAGAATGTTTTTATTAAAAAGTAAAAATTGCAAAAGTCTGAATCTGGCAAATGAAGCACACGGGCCACAGCACCAAATCCACTGCCACATCCCAGCACTACTTCACCTGCTCACAGGATGCCTATAGGTCTACTCCATTGTGCATGTGCATTGGAACTTTATGAGCAATTTTAATGATCACTGTTGCCAGTAGGTTACTTTCATTGTTGTGTTCACTTTAATGCCCTTTTATGCCTTAAAATAACATCATCCAAGCGATGATGTTGGAGCTAATGCAGAAAACATAAACTGTCACACCATTAACTTTGGAATACAGGTAAGATGTGATCAAATGCTATGTTTTTAAAAGGCCAAACCACCCCCACAAGGTCCCCGATGTTAATTTAGGAGAGGGCATGCTCTAACCCAGGAGACAGAAAGCTTTTTCTTAAAGGACCAGATATAAATATTTTAGGCTTTGCAGTGTATAAGATGTCTGTCACAGCAATTCACTCTACAGTTGTAGCTAAAACACAGTCGGGAGCATAGCTGTGTGCCAATAAAACTTTATTTGCAAAAGCAGACAGCAGGCTGGATTTGGCCTGTGGGCTAGAGTTGGCTGATCCTTGCTCTATAGCTACAGAGCTCATTCGTCCCACCTTTTATTTCAATGTGGCATTTTACTGCTCATAAAATCAGTAGTTTGCTCATTTAAACCCTTCTCTCATTTTCCATAGAGCTAATTTTGGGAAAATAAAAAATTCCATTAAAACAGGCACATTTCAAGCTTGCAAAAACTTTGTAAAAATAGTCAAGAAAATGAGGTGAAAAATGGGAAGCCATAAGTGGGCAACAAAATTGCAGCAACATCAGAGCCTCAAAATGTTCTATCTCATGTTTTTGGTGATGCTTACCTAACTGTATGTATCTGTCAAAGCTCACCAAGCTTTGTGCTTAAAATTAGTCAACTTACTTGTACAGAGATAATACCTCAATGGAGCTGATTTTGAAATAAGCTTAAAGGTTCAGCAATAGCCTCTAATTTGTCGTAACTGTGAATGTAATTGTGGATTTATGTGGTAAGGGTATAATACCTCTTACTTGACATCTGCTCCTCTGAAAACTGGTCACAAATAATGAGAGTCTGCACTACGTACATCCTTCAGGAACCCTCTGCGTTAAATGTGTTGGATGCAACTGTCCTGCCCTGAATGGCTGGTGGTATCCAGGCCTTAACCACTTCACTTAAGAGAGAACAAGTTACCTTTTAGAAACAATACAAAGCCCCAAGTTCATGGCTTAGCTCAAAACACACAAACAACAAAAAAAACACATAGGTAACTGAAGACAATAGGTAATGCCTAATTTCCTCATTTTCACTAGCAAAGCGTTAAATCAAAAACACAAGTTGGTACGAGTCTTGTCTCCTTTCTTTTCAGTTGTCTTCGATCCAGTGTGCAGCCTGTCAACATTCGAGCAGGAAAAGAAAAAAAAGGCAAGAAGAGGCTGAGATACTAATATGAGGGGAAAGCCACACAAATCATTTCTCTGATTAATCTAAAATCGATGGAACTTATGACAACAGTGTGAAACTCCAGCCAATAGCTTTCTCAGAGTCTCTTCACTCACTCTGTCTCCATTCAGAGATGAAAACTCATGGAAAGCAATGGTTCTCCGAGTGTGGTCCCTGGACCAGCAGCAGCGTTAACTTGGGAACTTGTTAGAAATAAATTCTCAGGCTCCACCCAGATCTCCTGAATCAGAAACTCTGGGGCTGGAACCCATCAATCTATGTTTAAAAAAAAAATCCTCCAATGATTCTAATGTTCACTAAAGTATCAAAATCACTAACTTTAAGTTTGAAAACCAAGATATACTCTTCCTAAATAAGTGGTGTCCCTCATTTTTTTATTTCACAAGGAGCTGACTTCAGATCCCACTCTCCAGGGTAAGATGGAACCTGTTCCTGAGCACACAAACACTGGAGGGGCTCAGTGAGCCTCCAAAAACATACGCCTGGAAAAACAGGGAGCACACACTATCCAGGTTCCATTCCAATATCTTTTGAGCACCTGCCGTGCGCCATGCCTATGCTAAATGAAATGATCTTGTTTCCCTTTTCCAAGAATAAATAAATCTATTAGTATGTGTTAAGTATACAGAGGCCTAACATTAATTAGAATGGAGTCAAACCCACAAACGAGCAGAAATACTATAATTCTCAAGTTCTCATTCATAGGTGTGACCAGCATGCTCAGAATGCTGAGGTATTTGCACATAAATGCTCCTTTCGCTGCTTCTTGGGTTAATTCATCTCAAACTTTATTGTATATCACAATTAGAGTACCAGGTTGCTTATACAAAACCATGTATATTAGAGTTTTAGGCCAACATAAGGAAATTGGAGGTAACTCTGAATTACTCAAGACACTGTTTGCTCTACTTAAAGGTCTTATCTTCTCTCAGATGTTAAAAATCGAAGTCTGATAAATTTCTTAAGATGCAATCCACTATACTCATTTATCTTCGGCTTTGATTCTCTCTTAAATAACTTTGTTCTGCCCTTTCCACTATGAAGGCCATTCTCCTTGATGGAGAAAATAAAAACTCAAGGAAAAAAATTTAAGCAATTTGCCCGGCTGGGCGTGGCTCAACGGTTGAGCGTCGACCTAGGATCCTTGGCGATCGGGGTTCGATTCCTGGTCAGGGCACATGCCCGGGCTGTGGGCTGCAGCCGAACAATGACTCTCTCATCATTGATGTTTCTATCTCTCTCTCTCTCCCTCTCCTTTCCTCTCTCTGAAATCAGTAAAGATATATTTTTAAAAAAAAATTTTAGTAATTCTGAAGTCCCCCTGCTGTCTGTTAACCCTACATTACTTGCCCCAGACTAGAAGTGGCATGTGCTCCTGCAAAAGTGCTCTTTCTTCCATCCTGTGCCCATGGCAGACATTGCTAATCAATCAAGGCACTCTTACTCAGAGCTTGAGAATTATTTTCAAGGCCCCAGAGTCCTTCTCCATAGCATTTCCGGCAGCCATCTCCAACTGATGACTGATAAAATATATTTATTTCACTGCCCAGTCACCACGCCCCTTTCTGCAGCTCCTAAATTCCTCCTCTCCTTGTTCTCAGAACAAAATTAAAGCCTCAGTTGATCCTGAGCTGCAGTCTCTACAGGTCTCTGCCACCCTGAGGGCTGTGATCACGTTGGATTGCGCCGAGCAGTTTAAGCAATCTGAGTGCAGTTGTAACCCAGCACGTGGTACAAAACTGCTCTGCAAATCAAAGAACCCAGTAAATAAAGGTACAGAACAGATCATGAAACACCTGTGAGGCCGTGCCCTGTGCATATAACTGGGAAATGTCAGCCTGAATAGCACAGGGACAGCTGCACAGCCCCGGGCTTACAAGCACGAGCACGCGGCCTGAGTAGCCAACTCCGGTTTGGCTTCCGGTACTCACCGATGGCGTTCACTCGGCCGAGGGGGCGCCGCACTGCTCCTTTAGCAGCATCTCCATTATTCTAATTCCCTACGGAGAGAAAAAAGAAAAATCAAAATGCGTATTTCACGGACAGGTGCTTATTTTTAACCCTTACGCAAGGGTATTTTTCCCATTGCGTTTCAGAGAGAGTGGAAGGGACATAGAGAGAGAGAGAGAGAGAAACATCGATGTGAGAGAGACACATGCACTGGCTGCCTCCCGCACGCTCTGGCCTCTGAGCCAAAGTGGCCAGGGCCCGGACAAGTGCTTTCACATTTATCCCAGCCCTTCCCCTTCAAGGAATCCAAGTCACGGCCGTATATTCAGCTCAGAAAAGAAGGCTCACGGTCAGGCCGTACGTTTTTCTAACCATCCGCTCATCGGTCTCACACACATTACCGCCGTGTGTGCTCAGGACGACTCGGGGAGGCAGGGAGTGCAGGCTCCCCATTTTAAACATAGGAAGGCAGTCCAGGAAAAGTTAAGTAACTTCTTGTAAGTGGCCCAGCTACTACGTGGCCTGGCCAGGGCTGGAATAATAACAGCAAAGATCACTAGTAATTAAACGCAAAGGTGTTACATTCACTGCTAAGGTTTTGTGTGTGTTATCCTGGGGAGTGGGTGCCGCGTGCACTGATGACATCTGCTCCGGGATGCGGGCACCCCTCCTGCCGTCTGCTAACACTGTCCCCTCTCCAGGGGCAGCCCTTATCCAATGACCGGTGGATACAGGGGTCTAAAGACCTGGCTCCCTTCCTTCAATTCGGGACAACTCTGAGTGGCCTAATCCTGCTCTCCTCAGTCCCTCACAAGGGTTGTCCCTGAGTGTCCTCTTGGTAACCCTCTGCGCCCAGGTCTCCATCACTCAGTGTGTCCTGACAACTGACCTTGCTCAACACACACAAAGCCCTGAACAAGTGCTGTTCTTACCCCTCTTCTTACTAATGAGGCAACAGGAACTCAAAGAGGTTTAAGTATTTTGCTCAAAGCTATACAGTTATTAAGTAATAAAGCAGGGAAAGAGCACGGTCATCCTATTCTGTTTCAGGAACCACGCCTTAACCTTCTCACGATGCTCACTCCACTGCTGTGCATTTTGGGCTGTCTGCCCACCAGCCCTGGCCAGTCAAGTCCACCCTGGAGGAAATAGGAAAGCAGATATTCCCTCTTTCTTCCTTCAAGGGCAAGTTCTGAAGACCAGAAGATGGCGTCAGGTGGAAAGACAGGATTGTGATATAGTTATGAACTAGGGTCGTAAGGAAGTCAAAGTGGGATCCAGGGGCATGGGACACACAGTTCTTGGGGACTGGAAAATAGCTTAGAAAGAATATTAATGATCAAAGCTAACTTAAAATACAGGTTCCAGGATTTGATTCAATGGTACTTAAATAACAAGCACCCGCATGATTCTCATGATCAGGTGGGGCTGGGAAACACTGAGCGGGCCTACAAGAGAAAGGCAGGGACTTCGTATCTGGGGTGTAATCTGAGTCACAGGATGGGGAAGCATCTCTAGAGAAGATGATAAAATATACAGGGGTTGGCAAAAGTAGGTCTCAGTAGGCCTAACTCTGAGTATGCAAAACACAGAGTTTATTCTTGTACTATTATTTATTAATTATTGTATTATTTATTTGTATGACAACTGTAAATCTAGTTTTGCCCATGCCTGTATTTAGTACCAAATTACACTCAACAAAATGTAACGTCTCCTTGAAAATTTCAGAAGGCCCTCCAGATTCTGGCTGACTATCACCGCAAGTATTGCCACTGTCTTAGAAGGAAGAAGCATTAATTAAAAGATCTTGACAGAAAGTCAAGGAGCATGAAGTGTCTGGGGAATGAAAGCAGGAAATAGTAGGACCGGGCACGCTGTCGTCAGTCAGGAGGCCTGGGTCACAGCCCTGCCAATTATTCCCCTGAGCTCCAGGGGCTAGCTGCCTTTTCCAAGAAATGACTTAGACCAGAGAGCTCAGGGGACAGCAAAGCTGGCTGGAGAGTGCTTTCCACACCCCACTGCTCACGGGAATTCCTAGGAACCCACAAAAGCACACACTGCTGCCCAAGCGCTATCCAGGCCAACTCAGTCACAGCATCAGTGGCGGGGCCTGGAACCTTCAGGTTTATAACATACCTCGTGTGGTTCTCAAACTCAACTAGTCCATTTACTAGAATTTGTAAATGGCAGCTTGACATCACCTCCAAGATCCCTTCCAACTGCCAGTCTGGGAATTGATGAAACAGTTCTCCTTAAACGTGTCTGAAGATACAGTACATATTGCAATCTTATACTTTCGAGCTACTCTTCCTTTAAAGAATTGGGGGGGAGGGCAGAAAGGGGGGTGAGGGAAGAAGTGAAACTAGCAGTAGAATGAAATTTAACCTAAGACCAGAACTGTTCTCATTTCTTCTCTCATTAATTCAACAACAGATCCAGCTAACAAATATGTATTGTGCACCTACTATGTGCACTGGCGATAAATGATGAACAAACAAGACAAAGTCCCTGCCCTCACCTAGTCTAGCAGATTTCCTTCCCCAGTTTCAATTTTTAAATAAGTAAAAAATTTCAACCAACCCCTGGACAATAATTAAATATCTTCCTTCTATTTTCAGGAAGATTGGAAACTGCCATGTTAATTCTGTTTCCAGCTTCTTTTTGCAGAGCAGGCACCTAAACCCAGACGGTGTGTCTTTAAAACCAGAAAAGCACACTCCTCCCTTAGGAAGTGAGCTCTGTGAATTCGCCCCATCCGTCTGAATTAGGAACCCACCACTTGCTGAGATGAACACTAATTGACATAAGTGAAGACTCTGAGGTTCGCCTGGGGAATTGAAAGACGTTATTTATTGAATCAATTATGTTCACAATGTGACAGCTGATCTTCCTTCCCCTTTCCCCTTCTCTCATACCACTTTAGTCTTTTTAAGCAGAACAGCTGGAAATGGAAGGTGGAAAAATGGGAGCAGAGACAGAGAGACTTATAAAATGAAATTTCAAAGAAAAAAAAAAAATCCCTATGAAGGAGGCCAAACCATTGCTTAGTACCTCTGTTTGGTAAAGAAAGACCAAATCAAAGCTCAATTGATATAGTCCCTTTAAATAAAGTTCTACTTCTTAAAACTCAACCCCCAGGAGACCAGGCTTAAAGGGACTAAATTTACACCACTTATCACACAATGATACCTGAAATGCAGAACAAACATTAAGTGGATCCACCTTACACATGTGGCTTAAAAGCTTTTTGGACTGACAAACCATGAACCAGCTTGATTTTATTATTTCTTTCCCTCTGAGAATTTTTTCTCTATTACCAGGCAGTTTGTTTTCCACTTTCCAACAGATAGGTAAGTGAGCTCGTTCAGTCTCATTTTCCTAATACCAGAGCTGTGCCAGCCAAATGCATCCCCACAAAGGAGACCCAGCATCCTCCAGACCCAGAACACATCACAAAAACCCCCACTCTGCGAGTCTCCGATAGCTGATTATTATGGAAAATGAAAAAGCTTGTCTCCAGAGGAGCAGCAATAAGTTAGAAGTAAATGTGGATAGATCTAGGTAGTACATTTACTTTATCAAATGGATGCTTCCTTAAGAAGCTCTGATTTACCTAGGAGGCCCTGAAGAGAGTGATACAGACCTTATAAAAATTACAAAGTTCTAAAGCACTTCTCAAAAGACACATCTATGGAGGCTCTCTTAACAAAAGAAAATTCCTCACTTAATTGCCACGATGGTAAAAGATGGGTGTTAGATGCCCAGAGAGTTAGACTTTCTTGTGGGTCCCTGCTTGGGGAGTAAGTACCACCCACAGTATGGGGGTCCCTGTGTGCAAGGGATGGCACTGATGCTGTGAGCAATAAGGATGCATGTAAGACATGAATCCACTACTCAAGGGGTCATTAGTCTCTTGGGATGAAACAAAGGAATGCAAAATCACTGACATGCAAGACCCCCTCTGGGCAGGGCTACCATGTTTAAAAGAAGAAAGTTCAATGAGAGAAGGAAAGTAAAGACTAATCTTGCGGCAGAAGCCACTGGAAGAGGGAGATGAGTCAGACCCAAAGTGTGATTATGAATGTGACACACAGATGAACGGAAAGACCAAGCACAGGGAGGCCTGAGAAAAGGCCTGGGTGTGGGAACAACAGTGGACGTGTAGTTAAGCAATTGCCTTCCTGAAGGGTGAGAGAGTGGCCTGGAGATGAGACATTTCCAACCTTTCCACCCTCCCCATTCTGTACCGACACACACACCCTTCCTCCCACCTTAGCTCCGCTCTTTCCTGGAAGGGACAACAGTGCATAAGCCACCCCAGTATTGCCACATACGGCACTGTGGTTATGCAATGACACTATCAGAAAGATTCGGGGTTGAGTCCAAGGTTGTGAAACCTTGGGTATTTGGCTTAAATTCTCTAATCTTTAGCTGCCTCACCTTTAAATGGAAATAATAATATAGGCTTGTCCTACGAATTAGTTCAAAAGGAGGAGTAATCTGGTTATCACAGCACCTAGCTTCTGGTAAACGCTCAATAAATGAAGAGTGGTTCATCTGCATCTCTTTAATGACCATCTAGTCTCACCAGAAAG